ATTTTAATTTTGCGACCTGTCGAAACATCACTTAAAATGTTACCAAAAATCAGTTGACGCATTTCAAATCAAGTTAGAAAAGACCACACTCGCAGTCACACACACTGCACTGGAAGTGCCTTCTGTTTCCTTTACTTTCATCTACCCTCAGCGAATCCGAGAGCCACATAATGGCAACTCAATTAAGCACTAACTGAAACGTGTTCCATTGGCATTTCCTTTGACTACCTTCCGACACTGTAGCCCTCGCCTCCCCCGCTTCTTTTCCCATACACCACGACCAACGTCTCTTCAAATTTCCATTCCCATTCTATGCAGTCAATGCAGTTAAAAGCTGCTCTTTATACTCCCCTCCTCTGTCTCCCCTTGTGCCCTGCACTGGCATTTCCTGTTTCCTACATACCGCCACTTCCTTCTGCCCCAACAGGGACAGGGAGGAGTGCATGGTATTGGAAATAGAATTAAATTTTCACAAGAAGTTGGCGACGATAAACGCCGCATAAAAGACGGAAATGATAGAAAATGTTTTAATGTTGCATAGCCCAAGAGACACGTTACAAGAGGAGAAGAACTGCAAAGGTTCATATAAGGTCGGTAAAATAAAAAAATAAAACAAAAATAGAGTTCGAGGGAGAGAGAGAGGTAAAAAGAGAGACGACGTGGGCGCGGGCTATATGTTGGAGAAACAGTAGTTGCTTTCTTTCCCAAAGACAATTTGATTGATTGTTAAGCAGTCAGCAAGCTTGATGCAGCACAGAGGAATGTTCCAACAGCTTCTGTTGCAGAAAGGTGTTGCAAAACTGTGGCATCAGTTCTTGACGGCTAACGAAATGAAATAATGCATAAGTAAAGAGTCGATATTTTAGCTGCGAGTTCTATGTATACCCTTCAAGAGGGTACTATAGTTCTGTAACCCGTTTTGCAAAACAGAGTAATCTAGTGAACTTCCTCGTAGTCAAAACAATTCTAGAGCATAACTTTCTGATTTTCTATCACTTCAAATGTTTCAACGGTTTATAGTGTATATAACTTAAGCATTCAAATTCCTCTTTGCTCTTTATCTCTCTATATTTACTTCAAATATGTCCGACTTTTACCATTTACTCTTCCGTCTTTGCTCTCTTTTTTATTAGCCTTTTTCTTCATCGACTATTCCACCCCTATATCATTTAATACTTAGTCAACCATCCAGCTGAAGCAGTCAATTTTGTCGCACATTAAATAAAAATCAAATATATGAAATCAATTCAAACACTTCGGCTTCTTTGCCATACACAATCTGTCCCCCGGCTGAATGGCAAGCCTCGAGCCATGGAAATCATAATGAAAATGAAATAAAACACTAAGCGTGGGGACACTTGAGCCCAGATGATTGCATACAATTGACAGCCCAAGCAAACGGCACGAATGAAACAAAGCAAACGACAAAATGAAAAGCAGGGAAAATAAACAAGTGGGAAAAGCAGAAGGAAATTCTCAAGTCGTCGCGACATTCAGCGGTTCGATTACAATTTAACAAATTTTCTAACAGAGTGGTTCACGATTCGTACGTTTCCTGCTTCTGAGGGGATTCCTTTGTTGACTTCCTTTTTGGTTGTCGTTGTTTTTTCGCTCTCCTTTTGTTTACCACTCAATTGAATTTTTAATCGTTTCTTCGTTTAACTTTTCTTTTCGGTGACGCGAACGCTTTTCACTTTCCACTACAGTTTCTGCGAAACAGATTGGAACCGAGGACATCTTGAGTGTTTGGCTGGTGTTTCCTTATCGGTAGCACAGCAGTCCTTTCCTTGTTTGTTGGCTCCTCCTCTCAATGCCGTCCCGTTGCTCTCCTATTCGACCAAGCGACCACTTGACTCGTCATTGTTTACATTTACAAATTGCTCGCTTGTCCGCAAATTGCAGCGCGGTTTGCTCCACGAGGATAACAGACAGAATGAGAGAGAAAGAGAAAGTAAGAGAGAGAACGACTTTGGCATATCTTTCGGCATCTTTACCTAGTCTTTCTTATTTTTTTTTTTCTCTTTTTTGAGGGGGATGGGTCGCTCGAGGCTTGGCAAAATGTTGTAACAAAAGCAAATATCGCTTTTCCTGCTTGCCTTCGCTTTTTGCTGGCTTCACTTCGAGTTTTTCCTTCCCAGTTTTTTTTTTTTTTATTTTTTTAATCATTTTTGGCCGTTTGCGGTTTCTATTCGCAGTTTTGTTTATATTTGTGCCTCACGCCCATATATTTTCTGTTGATTTATCATGATTTTATTTGGCTACTGGACTTCTCTTCTCTTCTCTTGGCTTCGACTTTGGCTTCTGTTTGTTCTTTTTGATTTCTTTGGCCAATATTGAAGCTATATTTCGATAAGTTTAAGTACAATAAGTGCTCAGGAAATTGACTTCGCCTAATAGAACAATTATAGTATTTTATTCAAATGGCATTATCGAAAAATAATAAGCTGTATGGAAACAAAGCTCTTGATATCTTCAACTATAGTCGATTGCTTAGGCAGGCCAATTGATAAACTCAATACAATTGAAATGCATTTGCTATACTTTCATTTTAGAGTTCATATATGCCATGTCTTGGGCTCTGTGTTTTGCTTCCAATGCCCCGTTGCATGCCACAAATTGATAAATTGAAAGAAAGCAAACGCTTAACTGATTTATTGAATGACTGTGCTTTACAAAGCTACAATAATGCCACACACAACTACATAAATATTTATATATATATAACACATTTTCTAACAGCCAAGTCGTTGACAAAAGCTGAAAAGGAAAGCGCCATTTTTATGCCTCATTTGGCCCAGCAAAGAGTCCTAATGCCAAAGCGAAGAGTATAAAAACTACGGGCAAAAGAGCAACAGTTATCAAAACTCTACAAAGCCTTTTGCCAACTGTGTAGAAGTGTAGAGTTTAACTGTTGATTTACCTATGAAAATCATAATATATCCATAAATGAAGATAAATGTAGTTTTGAAAGTGTTACAATGTCGGTTAAGACAGACTCAAATCCGTTGTTCTTCGCAGCTTTTCCGGAATTTTTAATATATATTTCGGCGCGTTACGTCATTCACACACGACAACACCCGGCATTCCACTAACTCTCAATTCTCTTATAAACTACATGGTCTTTGGCAACGCATGCGCTCTCCCAGTTTGCGCTCTGTCCTGTCCCGCTCGGCTGAAGGGGCAGAAAGAAAACTCTACAAAGAGTCTTTGGATGGCAACTACTCGACGGTTGGCTGTTGCCGCTTGCAACAAGTTGCTTGGGAATATTTCCCCTGCTTTAGTTACACATCTGCGGCAACTGCATTGGGGAAGTCCTGCGTCGAAAAATGTTCCCCGCAAGTAGCCAACTTTGTCTCTGGTTCGCATTTGCGATTTGCACCTAATTGCATAATTGCCAAGTCAACTGGAAAATTTGCCAAAATGCCAGTTAATTTGTGGTCAATGGGAGACACCGACAGATAAATCAATAGAATATTACAATGGGTGTAAGGCAAGCAGATAGAAAGGTTTGAGGTTTGCTAATTGTAATCGAACAATGTTTTGAGGCGGTTTCAAGCCATGCAAACAAACACCTGAATTGCTAATCAAACCGTAAAGTATAAGGCTTTGATAATACCCTGTATCTGCGAGATATACTGAGACAAGGCAAACTCAAGACTGGATTGCCAATTGTCAAAGAAATAAACAATGAAATTACAGGGTATTATGTGATCATCTATTGTGAGACTATAAAATAAAGGATATTATTTGACATCCAATATCTCAAGGCTCTATATGCCCAGTTCACATTTAGAGTAGTCCAAATGGTAACACACAATCAGCTCTCATTTCAAGCAAATAGAAAATTTAATTCAATTAATTAGGTTTTCACTTAGCAACTGCATTGCCTCACATTCGAGACGGGCAATGATTGCCTAACACTCTCTCCTGCTCCTCTTTGCACGCACATCGAGCACCTGTCATTGTGCCCCATGAAAATTGAATTAAGACAGGTTGCACTCGAATGCAGGACATGCCCCACACAGCCAATTGCAGGTGCGATAAGAGTCAGGGGCAGCTACATATAGCTGCTGCAGTAGGTGTAACTAGGGTATGTACACACACTGTACAAGCATTTATAGACATATATATTTATATACATATTTATATACATCTGCTGATAATAGCATTCTGATGTGCTGTAAATCATATTACGCATACGCCTGGTAGAACACAAGCGTGCCTGAAAATATTCCGTTGATTATGTTGCAATTGTTGTTCTTGTTGCATTGCAGCTGCTGCTGTTGTTGTTGTTGTTGTTCTTGCCTCATGCCTATCCTTTGACAAGCGTTTAGCCCTCTCTTTGTTGCCTAACTTAATTAGCTTTGCCTCAGTCGGTGTCAGTCAGCTGGGAAATTTGCTGCTGCAAAAAAAGTGTTGCATACTTTGTAGAGCAAACAAGGTCTACGTGCACTACATGCCAACAGGCACAGAGCTACCCACATACACAGACAGTAGTTGTTATACATGTAATAATACAGTAGAACTAAGAAAATTGCCTTCATAATTTAATTAAGCTGACTTGTGCACCTCCTCTGTGGCATGCTTTATATAAAAGAAAAAATAAGCTAGAGTTGGGTTTTGCTGTCATGTTAATGGATCCTTACTAATTACTTTATATAAAAATAAATTTATATATGATCAGAGCACTCAAAGCAAAGGGAACTTGCTCTAAGCTTCAGTATGGTTCGATTAAATTATATGATTAATTAAATATGAATATTTTATATATCAAATAATATAATATAATTTATAAAAAAATATATAATAATATAAAAGAAAATAAAATATAATTTAAGAAATAAAATATATACATACATGAAATATATATACATGAAATTTTATTTTTATGGTAAAAATCACATATAAATGCATTTTAGTTGGGAATAGATTAGGTACTTGATATTAAACAACAAATTGAAAAGTTTTAAGATCTATGAACATACCCCTTCTAGTGTGGATCATAAAAATAAAAGCTTTCTTAAGCTTACCTGAAATGACAAAAAAGAGTAAAAGTTGTTTATTATATATAGTTAATGTATGATTGAAAAAGTGAGATAAATAATTTACACTAGTGAAACCAGGCGAATGTCAACTAAAAGCAACTAAAAAGATAAATAACGTGTCTAAAGAGAATGACGGTTTTAACAAATGCAACAAAAAGAAATGCAAAACTTGCTACATAAATTTTCATGTGCGACATAAATTGAGCGGTCAGTTTGTGGGCGGGCAAAAGTGAGTAGAGCAAACGTAGGTGAATCAAAGAGGAGAAGGTGCAAAGGGAGCAGCAGCAACATCAACACTGAAACCAGAGTAACAGCAGCAACAAGGCATTAAAAAACAGTGAAAGAGAGCGGGTGAGAGAGAGAGACAGAGGCCGAGCGAATTGCAGGAGTGAAAGGGTCTATAAGCAAGGCTTTGTACTGTTATTTTCCAAACGAACGGGAATTATTAAAGGACATTATTGCAGCTTCACGAAACACACAAACACTTGCATCCTGAAGCACGGCTCGTAAAGACAAAACATGTCCGTTAGCCATTGTCAAAGGTAAATGCATTAAACGGCCCATTGCATAATCACATTACAAAAAAAATAATAATAAAAAAAAAAATAAGATTAAATCAGAACTGAGAATTCATTGCTAAAACGTAATTTAAATTAAAGTAAATATTAATTTTATATCAAATTTATGAACACTTATAATAGCCAAGCTCGCATAAAGCATCAAGCCAAACAGATTTTCGTTATACATAAAGCCCTTAGGTATCCCCAAACTTGTAGCTAATTTATATTATAAACAGATGTCTAAAGCTTTTCACTTGCATATTTCGTTTGCTTTTCCCAGCTGCTTTTCACTCAAAAAGGATGTCGCAGGACATACTTTACAGCACGAACGCCATTCTACTACGCCCTATGCAATTTGCTGCATAATATTGCAAGTTTTGCATTTCATAAATGAAACATGTGCATAATATTAATGCAATCAAGTAAACAAGCGAGCCAAGCGAAGCACTCACTAGCTGTGAGACTAAGACGAATATAGCTATACAAACAGGACCAACGGCTGAAAGCCTCGTAAGAAAACTGCAAATGTGTGCAAAAATATGCTCGCACAGACCTCAAATTCATTGAGATTCATGAACTGCCAGTGAGTGACTCAGTGGCTTTTAATACAGCTACAATAATATATGCATTTATTTATTGTTTAGCTTCACAAATTTAATTTAATTGCAAATTATTGCAAAGTTTTTGCTTCGTTTCTTTTTTATAAATTTATTTATTATTTTTAGTTATAAAAGCTTTCGTCTCTGTGGCTCCATCAGATAGCTGGCTGAGGTGGTACTCCATAAAACAACTTGTGTATTATCTGTGTGAGGGGTTTCGTTTGGAGTTTGTCTGCATTTTCCAGGCACAAATGAGCTACATAGCTGTGGCAAAAGTTTTGTGGCCAGTGATTTTCAAAGGTTTTGCGGCTGCATTCAACTTTGACGGTAAATGTATAGACGAACGTTTTGAAGGATAGTTATATACAGCATTTTGTATTAATTATGATATTATTTGGCATCCCTGGCTAATGAAAAGTTAGACCGTAACAAAAATTGCTAAAAATTTCATATATTTTCAGAAGTGCAAAGGGCAGCATATCGAGTGTACTACATTAGTGAAGTTTTGTTAAATTACGTACACATTTGGTTTGTTTAGTCTATTGAGGTGTATTAAAACGTTTCACTTTTTCTGTTCTCAGTGATTTTACAAATTTAATTTCAATATAGAATTTAAACATTTTTATTTTATTTTAGCTATCCACAACGCAAAATATATAATCTATCCGCTACCATTCCGAGCTAATTGAAGCTCAGCCCAAAATGTCAAAATTGATATCAAAATATAAACCAGCAATCAGACTCGAGCGCTGACGAACGCAAACAAACTCAAAGAAAAGTTTTCAAAGATAAACTTGTACCAATAAAATAAAACACGCGCACAATACAATAATGCATCAAAAGAGAAAGGTAGGAAAAGCAGGCGGATGACTGACTAGCGAAATCATGAGCTGGAGCATGGAAATGCAACAACCATCATCATCATCATCAGCATTGCCAACGCTAACATCATCATCGCCATCATGCTCAACTTAAAAGTTCGAAATGATATGATGGCAGCCACTGGAGAACAAAGAATATCAAAGTTAAATTAAATTTGTAGTTTTGCAAAACTTTATCGTGTCGGTCTCCAGTTTCATGCCTCACCTGTACCAGTGAGCAGCTCCCTTTCCCCGCCCCCACTCGACAGTCTGTGTCGCAACAGCTCATTCAATTGAATTTTTCTCATCTTCATCTTAATTAAAAGCCTCAAAATTCAATTAATATACACGCACAAATTTTTGGTGCTTTACATTTGAATTGCAGCTCATTAAAATTGTTGAAGGTGATCAAAAATAAGTAAATCAAGTCGTCGTCATCGTTGTTGTTGCCGCCGCCGCCGCCAGATGGCGACACAATGCCGCAAGTTTTACGGACCGTGCTGCGTTTTGCCATCAAATCTGGGCAAAAGTTAAAACTTGTGCGCACAAGCGCTCAAGGTGAATTTTAATGAAAAATATAATTATAATTCATGCAGATTTTTCGCGGTGTACGGGTGTATAAGTGTCTGTGTGTGTGTGAGTGTTCTCAAAGTTTGACAAAGTTTATATTATTATTGCAGCGAACAGTTTCTGTTGTTGTTGCTGTCGTGCTATTTGCTCTTGTTGTCTGTGGGAATTAAAATGTAATTATGTCGTAAAGCAACCCAAAACATAGCACACCTTTCCGGGCAGGTGTCAAGTGTGAAAGGAGCATTAAATGCGAGCGAAGAAAACCAAGAAAACATGAGAGCTATAAACTGCAAACAGCGAAATTTTTGATATGAACAAAATTCTTTTTTCTTTATTGCATTGCTGTCAATCAGACAGCACAAACTATACAATTTAATACTGAATACTTAAGTTGATTGAGCTGTCAATTAGTGGCCAGAGATGGCAGCGTTGGCTGACAACGAGCCGTGAGCTATGACAACTCTTGGTCTAATTAGAAATATTCTAAGGGCTTCTCAAGGAAGCCGAGTCTATGCGAAAACAATAGGAAAATGCCAAGCATATAATTTTGGATTGACAAACGTCAATCAAAACAGACAGCGACAACTGAGAACTACAGAGAAGGGCACGCAAACTGCGCACAATGACAGCCAGTTGAAATGGCAGCTGCATGCGTCCTGCTGCATTAAATTCCCAGGCACTCAGCACTCAGGCACAAATCCTTCCAACCACACACACATTCACACACAAAAGAGGCACAAAATGTGAATGCCTTTGCAGACAAAAGCTATACAGAAGGTATAAGCATTTAGCAAGAAAGGTTTATAGACTTTCGAAAATAAGCGAAAGTTTAAAGGAGATTAAATACTCTATGAATGAAGTATAATATGCATAGGCTGCAAAGCGATTACCGTTAGTTGCAAACTTGCTAACTTTGATGAGTTGGTAAACTTAAAAGTTAACAGATTCAGTAGGTCACTTAAAATAGTTAAGAACTCTGAAAGGCTCATCAGTAAAAATGGAATCTCAGGCTGAGAAAAGCATAGCGTACATTATATTACATATTATATAGAATATGTATATATTAATAAGGACGACAATGTCCTTCTATCCGTAGAATCATTAAATTATGGGAAAAGCATCTGTGCGTAGGGCTCAGGGCATACCTTAGTCGGGCACTCTCGTCTACAGCTTTTTACTTGTTGATACTATTCAAGACATTATTTTACTCCCATATAAGCCTCCTTTCGTTCAGTAGATATGTGGAATATGCACAAGATTTTTTTATCCGCCATGAGACGTCGAAATGCTCCATTTGCAGGGCATTATGAATAGCCGCGCGTGCATTCATTTAACTAGCGCTCATTGTGCGAGATGTAGAGCCTAGAAGTAGGCAAGGCAGCCTTAAGGGGCTCATGAGCAAAGGGATCGAGAGCCACCCCCACATTAATAATGAGATGCATAACACGCTGCTGAAAAGATGTCGCACATCTTCATCCAATGCCCCCACAGAGTACACTCAGTTATGCAGCTGCCATTTTGAATCGCGAAAATTAGCCAAGCCGCCTGCTAAATGCACTTTAAAGCACCTCAGAGCCACCCACAAAGGACTGTAACAAGCGCAGCCTAATGATGATTATTCTTTGTAAACAGAAGCTGACAACAAAAGCAGCAGCAGCAGCAGCAGAGGCTGGCCAAAGGCCTAATTAATTGCCAGTCCTTGAAAATGTTGCTAAGCTGACTTGGTTCTGGCCTCTGGCCGCGAAAAGCCGCAATTTTAATTAACTTTTATGTAAAACTAAAAAATGATTTTCGAACAAACAAAGGAAACAAGTTGGCTTACAACTTGCAGTATTACGTGTGTGCCTCGATTGTGTTTGATTATGCAAGCGCATTGGCTAATTTACGGGCATTGCGCCAGCTTTTCACGCCTCAATGAAGCGCAACGTGTTTATAAACAAATTGAATTAACAAAAAAAAAAGAAAATACAAATAAAAAAAAAAAAGAAATAAAATCAATAACAACAGCAACAGCTAGTGAGCTGCATGAGCAAAACAGAAAATCAAAGTGAAGTCAAGAGAAAAATAAGACAAAAAATAAATAAAATTTTAAGTCGACTTGAGTTGAGCTCTCTATTAACTAATGCAGTTGGAACACTTCAAAGATATTTAAGAAAAAATATTTAGCTAGCAAAGGAAAATCAAGATAAACTTAGAATTTCAACGTTGCTTAAGTCAGATCAGTTCCAAAATACATTTCCAAAAGTTTCTATATTTATATATTGTATATATTCCATATGCCAATCAAAGCAATAGACAATGTCAATATACCGCAGCACACTAAAGCGTATACCCAAGAATAAACAACACCAAGCAAATTGGATTCCGAAGTGTTTTATGCAATCAATGCCAAAGCA